AGTCTGTATGCTTAACTGGCACTATAACTTCTTTTATGTCCTCGCGGGAACAGAGGACAATAGTTTTCTTGCTTTTAAGAAGGTAAAAATTTATGTAAACAATGCTATTTTAATCCGCAACTGCACTTAAAACTAATGTGCATTCGTTTCTTTTTTTTTTTTTTTTTTTTTTTTGCCAACTCTCAAAAAATACAAATCTCTATTGTTTTTACAATATGCAAAAAATACTCATTCTGAATTTAAATTTAAAATGAAGGGAGGAATTTTATGTTCCTAGTTTTGAAGAGTTCAAATGAAGGATGATTTTTTTTTCGAAGAAATAAATAAATATCGTTTATTTGAACGTACAGAACTTTTGGAACATTAAAATTTGTCGAAGAAATTTATTTTCAAAAATTTTGATTAAAATTCTTTAATTTTCGTAAAATATTCATAATTTTATTTATTTCGTAATTCATGAATTATTTTCAAAAATATTGATAAATTTTGTTTATAAGAATTTAATTATTTTTAAAAATGTTAATAAAATTTTTCAAAAAAATGCAATTTTATTAAAATTGTAAAAAAGAATAGTAAAAATTCAATTAAATTTCAATACAATTTTAATCAAATTCTTCAAAAGAATTGAATTACTTTCAAAAATGTTGATGAATCTCTTTGCAATATTTCTATTATTTTTAATACAATTTTCATAAAAGTTTTCGCAAGAATTGAATTTTTTTCAAAAATGTTTATAAAAGTCTTTAATTTTCATAAAATTTTTCGAAAGAATTGAATTTTTTTCAAAATTGTTGATAAAAGTCTTTAATTTTCATAAAATTTTTCGAAATAGGTAATTGAATTTTTTTCAAAAATGTTGATAAAAGTCTTTAATTTTCATAACATTTTTCCAAAGAATTGAATTTAATTATGTTTAAAAATATTAATAAAATTTTTTGAAAAAAATCCAATTATTTTCAAAAAGTTAAATAAAAGTTTTCGAAAACATTCAATTAATTTCAATATAATTTTAATAAAATTCTTGGAGAGAATTGAATTATTTTCAAAAATTTTTATAAAATTCTTTACAATAATACAATTATATTTAAATTAAAAAAAATTTCTCGAAAAAATAAATTAATTTTAAGAAATTAAATAAAATCTTTCGCAAAATTAAATTATTCTCAATACAATTGCAATAAAATTATTCGAAAGAACTCAATTTATACTTTCAAAAATTTTGATAAAATTCTTTACAAATATTATATATAATAATCGTCGTGATTCCAGATTTCCGGATCTCTGTCCACACTTGAAGTTAGTTATAGTTATTCTTTTGTTTTTTATACGTTTTGATAGAAAATAGAAATATACATATACATATACATACATTATAATAATCGTAAGTTTCCTTTCCGTTAGCAAATTATCTGCATTCATTTGTTTGTTTTGAAAATTTAATTTTGTGGGTTAAGTATTGGCATTCTTTATATATTTTTTAATGTCAAACTTTTTAATGTGGAAAATACTTTACTTATTAAATTGTCTCGACTCTTTGGTAAAAAATCTAAAATTATCGGAAATTATCAAAAATTCAAAAATCCGAATTTCTTAAAATTTAACATTCTTTCCTCTCTTTTATGGAATTTAGCTTCATTATTTTTGTGCTTTTGAAAAATACTTTACTTATTAAATTGTCTCGACTCTTTGGTAAAAAATCTAAAATTATCAAAAATTCAAAAAATTTCAAAAATCCGTTTTTCTTAAAATTCAACATTTTTTCCTCTCTTTTATAGAATTTAGCTTAATTATTTTTGTGCTTTTGGAAAATACTTTACTTATTTAATAGTCTCGACTCTTTGGTAAAAAATCTAAAATTATCAAAAATTCGAAAAAATTCAAAAATCCGATTTTCTTAAAATTCAACATTTTTTCCTCTCTTTTATAGAATTTAGCTTAATTATTTTTGTGCTTTTGGAAAATACTTTACTTATTTAATAGTCTCGACTCTTTGGTAAAAAATCTAAAATTATCAAAAATTCGAAAAAATTCAAAAATCCGATTTTCTTAAAATTCAACATTTTTTCCTCTCTTTTATGGGAATTAGCTTTATTATTTTTGTGCTTTTGGAAAATACTTTACTTATTTAATAGTCTCGACTCTTTGGTAAAAAATCTAAAATTATCAAAAATTCGAAAAAATTCAAAAATCCGATTTTCTTAAAATTCAACATTTTTTCCTCTCTTTTATGGGAATTAGCTTTATTATTTTTGTGCTTTTGGAAAATACTTTACTTATTTAATAGTCTCGACTCTTTGGTAAAAAATCTAAAATTATCAAAAATTCGAAAAAATTCAAAAATCCGATTTTCTTAAAATTCAACATTTTTTCCTCTCTTTTATAGAATTTAGCTTAATTATTTTTGTGCTTTTGGAAAATACTTTACTTATTAAATTGTCTCGACTCTTTGGTAAAAAATCTAAAATTATCGAAAATTATCAAAAATTAAATATCCGATTTTCTTAAAATTCAACATTTTGTCTTCTCTTTTATAGGATTTAGCTTCATTATTTTTGTGCTTTTGGAAAATACTTTACTAACTAAATTTTCTCGACTCTTTGGTAAAAAATGTGAAATTATCGAAAATTATCAAAAATTCAAAAATCCGAATTTCTTAAAATTCAACATTTTTTCCTCTCTTTTATAGAATTTAGCTTTATTATTTTTGTGCTTTTGGAAAATACTTTTTTTATTTAATAGTCTCGACTCTTTGGTAAAAAATCTAAAATTATCAAAAATTCGAAAAAATTCAAAAATCCGATTTTCTTAAAATTCAACATTTTTTCCTCTCTTTTATGGGAATTAGCTTTATTATTTTTGTGCTTTTGGAAAATACTTTACTTATTAAATTGTCTCGAGTCTTTGGTAACAAATCTAAAATTATCAAAAATTCGAGAAAATTCAAAAATCCGATTTTCTTAAAATTCAACATTTTTTCCTCTCTTTTATAGAATTTAGCTTAATTATTTTTGTGCTTTTGGAAAATACTTTACTTATTTAATAGTCTCGACTCTTTGGTAAAAAATCTAAAATTATCAAAAATTCGAAAAAATTCAAAAATCCGATTTTCTTAAAATTCAACATTTTTTCCTCTCTTTTATGGGATTTAGCTTCATTATTTTTGTGCTTTTGGAAAATACCTTTCTTATTAAATTGTCTCGACTCTTTGGAAAAAAATAAAAAATTATTAAAAATTATCAAAAATCTGAAAAATTGAATTTCTTAAAATTCAACATTTTTTTTTCTCTTTTATACCATTTAGCTTTATTATTATTTGAATTTTTATTCAAGAGAAAAAATGGAAAACTGAAAAAATTTAGAATTTTTTAAAAATTACAGGCCTTTTCCATGATTTTCCTGATTTCCAGAAGCCTTTTAAAAATTCTATACCATTTCCATGATTTCCATGATTTCCAGATTCTGTAGGAACCCTGCTTTTGTCTGACTTTCTTCTGAATTATCGAATTCAGTGATTTCTGGGGTGAATTTGGTTAAGTTGTAAAATGATTAATTTCTATTTGAATTCGTTTTTTTTTTGAATGTAGAAAATCTGATGTTAATTTAATTCTTTTTTCGTTATGCACGGCTAAAAATATTTAGCTGGATGAAGTACAGATTTCACTTTAGTAGCGAAATTATTCAGTGCTTCAATTAATACTTTCGTTATTCTAGAGAAACTTATCGCTATTTCAAGTAAAACTTTTTTCAGTGTGTAATAATTATTATTTCTTTGAAAAGTATTTAATTTAAAATGGCTTTATAAAATAAGCAATGCAAAAGATGACCCAGATACTAATTGTAATTGTTCTAGCCATAGTTTAAATCTAGTAATGTAAATTCTATTTAAATTGAGACCATTGAGTGAAATTATTTGAATTTTAGTTAGTTAAATCTCTTTGTTAGGTTATAATAATTATTTCTTTAAAATTTTTTAAATTGTTTAAAATAAGCAGCCCCATACAACATTCCCGCGCGCTTGCGCGCGGATAGTTTGGCTAGTTTCAATTATTTTTAATACAATTTTATTAAAAGTTTTTGCAAGAATTGAATTTTTCTAAAATATTTTGATAAAATTCTTTACTATAACTCAATTATTTATATTTTTTTTTTAAAGTTCTCAAAACAATTCAATTATTTTTAAAAGGTTGAATAGAATATTTCTTAAACATTCAATTATTTTCAATACAATATTAATAAAACTTTTGTCAGGAATTGAAGTATTTTTAATAAACATTTAGTAAAATTTCTCGATTTGCTAAAAATTTTAGTAAAATTCTAGAATTAAATTATTTTAGATTTAAAATTGAGTAACTATTTTCTATGGTTTAGAATGTTAAACTAAATTTACAAATTAAATTATGATTTTTAATTAAAAAAAATTTTTTGCTCATAGTTAATTTTTATTATTCAATTTTCAAAGCATTAAATTTGAATTTCTTTAATTTTAAAATTCAATTCGAATTCTTTTAAATCAACGACGATTTTTTTTTAATGAAAAAATGAAAATTTGATAAATTACTTTCTAAATTTTCATAAATGAAATTAAGTGTAAAAATATTATCAATGAAAAGTAATTCGGAAATTTATTTCATGATCCACAAGTTTTGAACACTCAAAATGAACGAAATATTTTTTATTGAAAATATTTTCATAAAAATGACTGATTGCAACAAAAATTGAAATTCAAATTTGACGTTTTGGATCTTTATAATTAACTTTTCTTATAGTGAGGTAAAGATATTTGTAGTAAAAATAAAAAATAAAATAAATTTGTAATTGAAATTTAATGTGAAGAAGAAATAGAATAATTTCGTTCAGTTAAACGTTCAGAACTTTAGGATTTTATTTATTTTTTTTATTTTCGTCATTGAATAACAGAAAGTTTTTTAGATAGTTTGAACTTTAGTTTTGTAGTAATTATTAACGAAATTAATTAACTTTGATTGTTCAAATTAAATTACCTGTAACGTTTAATCCAGCAAATGATTGAAAGTCAGAAATTGCTTTTGACATCGTGTGTTCGGAAATGATTCCACCACTCGTTGGATTCACTGGCGGTAAATAGCCAAACTGTGACAAATATCTCTGCAAAAGAAACAAACAATTTTCTATTAGAAATTAAATTTTACATTATAGTAATTCTTTTCATTTTTAAAGATTTTATATTCTTTCTTTTTATTTCCTATTTATTTTTCTAAATTTAAAACAGAAATTTTTTAAATCTACTTTATTATGTTTTTTCAATAAAAATAAGTCGTATTTCACTTTTTTTCAATTTGTGAAATAAAATTCTAATTTTAATCTTCTGAAAAAATAAAATAGTCAATTATTTTAAAAAAGTTAAATTAAAAATTAATTTTTTTCAGAAGAAAAAAAGTTTTGGTAACACGCATAATAAATTTTATTTTCTCGCAGAGATTAAAATGACAATGTTTAGAAATGTTTATCTTGCACAAATTAACATTTTATTTTCCTGAAAAACATTAAATTCTTTCCTCCACTTCTATTAATACCATTATTTCTCTTTGGTATTGAAGAGAAAAAAAATAAGAACCGTAAATAAATTTGCTTTTTGTTTCCTTATTTTGACAAGAGACCTGCATACTAGAATTTAAAAAAAAAAAATTCCAGTGCTTTTAGTCCTGTCAACATGTGAAAAAGAAAAAGACAAGTTTTAATTTCTTTTAGTGTAAAAAGGATGAAATTCTTTTAAACAAAAAGTATTTAGCTTTGTAAAAAATAAGAGAAAACAAATAATAAACGTTGTCATTTTATATCGCAGTTTGTTACCTAGATACCATTCACTTAATTATTTCATTAATTAAGTAAATAAATTTGTCAATTAATAATTTTTTTTATAGAAATTGAATTCATTAAATAATTAATTAATAGGATTTTTCTTCCTTTTTATGAATTTTAACCAAAAATATCATCTTCTGTAGAAAGACAATAAAATCTTCGCCTTATTTTTAAGCAAATTTTTTATTTTTTTATATTATTTTCTAAAATTTCATCATTTTTTTTTTATTAAGAAAAATTCTGAGAAATTGTTTATTTTTAAATTACTTAAAACACTTTTCGACCTTGAAGATGTAGATGAGGATTTTTTTTATCAACAAAAGAGTGGTGATAACAGTGACGTTAAAAGAGAGAGAGAAGAAAATTATGTCATTTTTATATTTTCACAATGTTTACCATAGGTGCGGAGACCATTAAGTAGGTATTTATTTAACGCGTTGTAATGTTAAAGAACAGATTCATTTATATTGTGTACCGGTAAACGAAAAAAGAAAGTGTATTTTTTAATTATCTTTCAGTTTTTTTATCTCGTTTTTTTTCTCTATAGACAATTCTCATACCAAGTTGGTTGGTTAATTTCAATTTATCAACTGCCTTGGAATTTTATGAGAGTAAATTTTCTAATAATTGTATAAAATAGTTCTCGAAAATATTTTTAGAAAAATATTTCAAAAATTTCAATAAGATTTCATCGTTTTGAGTTAAATTAATTTTTTAATATTCACATGGGATTTTTTTTGATAAAAAATTAGATAACAATGATTTTTTTCTTTTAAATCAGTATTAAAAAAAGTAATAATCATGCTAATTAAATAATTAATAATTTATATATTATTTTTATTATTTGTTATTATTATTATTACACATTTTTATAATTAATTATTAGAAGTTTTTATTATTATTAATTATTACAAGTTTTTATTATTATTATTAATTATTTGAAGTTTTTTGTCCGTAGATTTGAATTGCATCATTAGTGAAATCATTTTGCTGCATGGTTCTCTTATCTTTTCTCTATAGAAAAATAGTTTCTTGAAATTGGGAGGAAATTCTAGATTTTTATTTCAAACGAAATTTTCTTTGGTATAAAAGGAATTCAACAAGTGTTTTATGTTTTATTTATTTTATAAATCTTCATTTCCTATATATATGTGTAACACAAACTTCGTTGATTCTAGTTTTGGAGAGCAAGCAGGTTACGAAGAAAAAATTGTTGGAAAAAACTATTGACATTATAGAGTTAAAAAAAACAAGTTAAAAATAATTTATGGTAGCATTTTCTTTACGATTTTTCTTTTTGTAAATTTCATCTAAAAACTTCTAATAATTAATTACAAAAATGTAGATAATAATAATTTTAATAATTTGCAGATCTTGTTTAATATTTCACAAATATTTTCTTTGTCACATAAATGATGAATAATTTTTTTAGTAATTATTTAAATTATTAATTAATTCTTTAATTAAATTAATTATTTGAATTATTAATTAATTCTGTAATTTAATTAATTATTTAAATATTATTTATTATTATTAGGATGATGAAAAAAAATCGATCACTCCGAGTCAGGATTATTATTTATTATTGTTTATAGTAATGAAATTAGTAGTAGTGATAATTTCTTTGCAGTATTTAAAATTGAATTGAATATAAATGCTTGGGATATTAAATTTAAATTCCCCCCATCTCCCCCCATTTTGACACTATTTTTCTTTTATATGGCCATCAGAATTTCTTGATAGAAGAATAAGTATGATCAATTATTGTAGGAAAGATACCGTAAATCGCTTGCAATGAATTATGTGAATTAATGATAATAAGAGTGTCGTGCGACGTACAATCTCAATTAGGTTTCAAAATACTTGAAGCAAGCCACCCACATTCCTCGTTTTTAGGATAAAAATCTATTTAACGTGACCTCAATTTCAAAAATGAAGCACTTCGATTCTAATCATTCATTTGCCTTTATCAAAAAATATTGTGCTTCCTTAAAAACATTTGTTTTTTATAATATAATGATAATAATACAAAATAATTACGATAATATTATTATTTTTGATTTATTAAGATTATAATATTTGTTTTAAAATTCTTTTTTATTTCAGTAAATTTATTGACTATTCCTACTAAATAATATGAATGATAATAATATTTTTTATTTTATTTTTACTATCACAACTTTTAATAAAATTTTTCGAAAAAACTATTTTCATCATAAATAATAAAATTCTCTGCAGAAATTCAATTATTTTTATTTAAATTTCTAGAAAAAATGTATTTAATATATTTTCCAATGAGAAAATTTTAAATTTTCCACAACTTGATCGTAATAATAAAATAGATACGAGATTCGTTTAAATAAATTCGTGTTAAATTGATTGATCGATTGATTCATGTAATACAGAGAATATCTTTTAGTCACAAGTAATAGTTTACACGAGAAATTGTTATTTTCAATTTTCAGAGTAATATTAATTGTCTATTGTAGTAAATTTCCAATTCTCCAATTTTCCAATTTCCAAAATTGTAATGATTTAATTTTTTTCACAATAGTTCAACTTTCGTTAGAATCAATTTTATGATGAATAATTTCTATAGAAAATCAGGACTTTTTTTTACAATTATATTAAATTTTAAATAAATTACAATATTTTATTTAAGTGAAAATTATTTTTTCCAATACTTATTTTTGATAAAAAAAAGAGTTTAATCCAAATGAAATATTCTAATTTTCTGAGAGTACAAATTTGGCTCCTATTTAAAATTCCATTTCGCATCTATAATAATTTTTAATTTAGAACGGATATTGTTTTCTCATTATACGGTAAAATAGAGGATTAAAATTATAATAGCAAATGATAATTTACACAATGCTAATAGCAATAAACATTGTTAAGAAAATATAGTTCCATTTCCAATTTCTCGATTTTAGATTTTTTTTTGTTTCCTGACTTTTTTAATAATTTTTATTTTTAAATGTTTTCAATTTTAAAATTAATGTAGTGAAAGTCATTGAAGTCTTGGAGAGAATTAATGTCAAAAAATTTGAAAATAATTGAATTCCTACGAAGAGTTTAAATATTTATGAAAATAATTGAATCCTGTGAAGAATTTTCTTAACATTTTTTGTAAATCCCTATTTAATTCTTTTGAAGAATTTCTATGAACTTTTTTTATTAATTTTAATTGTAAATTTTGAATGTAATTGCATTTTATGAAGAATTTCTTTTAAATTTTTTAAATAATAATCGTGTTTGTTAATAATTCAAATTAAACATTTAATTATTGAAATTTATAAAAATCTTTAAAAAATAATTAAACTGTTCTCGGGAGTTTTATTCCAATTTTTTTAAATTTTTAAATAATTTAATTCATTAAAGAATTTTATTAAAATATTAAAAATAATTAAATTTTTTCGAAGAATAGATGCTATTAAAGGTCTTGACAATAATTGAATTCTTTGAAATAATTGAAGATAAAAATTTAAATTGATTTAAACAATTTTATTAGATTTTTTGTAAATAATTAAATTCTCTTGAAGAGTTTTATTAAATTTGCATTAAAAATAATTGAATTCTTATAAATAATTTTTTCACCATTTTTGGAATTTTTGAAATTCTTTCCTGAAATTTTATTAAAATTGTAATTAAAAATAATTGAATATCCGCGAAGATTTCTTTTAATTGACGAAAATTCTTGAATTCGTACGAAGATTCTTATTAAAATTTTTGAAAATAATTAAGAAATTTCATTAAAATTGTATTAAAAATAATTGAATTTTATTATTTACGAAAATAATTGAATTGTGGAGAAAAATTTTATTAAAAGTGTTTAAAATAAATAAATTATTACGAAGAATTTTATTAAAATTTATGAAAATAATTGAAATTTTGACAAGAATTTTATTAACATTTTTGAAAATAATTTTATTGTTTCGATATGAATTAAAATTCTTTCGAGAAATTTAGTTAAAATTGGTTAAAATTTTATTGGAAATAATTCAATTCTTCACGATAAGAATTTTAATATTTACGAAAATCAATTGAATTCTTGCTAATAATTTTTATTAAATTTTGGAAAATAATTCAATTCCTGTGAAGAAAATTGAACAATTTTTCAGAAAATAATTATATTCTTGAGAATTTTATTTATTGAATTTTATTGGAATTATATTAAAAGTAATTGAATTCCTGATAAAAATTTTATTAGTTATAAAAATGATTTAATTCATACCATGAATTTTAGGATAAAAATATTAAATTTTTTCGAAGAATCTAATAAAATT